CGTCCACATCAGAGCTGGTCCTACTAAATCTAATCTCTTAATCTTAATCACATAAATCACGATATTTCACCAAGTAATCATATTTTAATTTCACCACTATCGCACGCAACTCACCCTGGCATCTGAGTTAAAATCCTATAGGAGAGGAACCAGCATGCAAGACGGGATCGGCATGGTATCTGACAGCTGTAACCAATTCAGCGTCCACATCAGGGCTGGTCCTACTTAATCTAATCTCTTAATCTTAATCTCTGTGGTCTTACAGATAGTAGTGGAAATTTGCATTAAACTTCATTACATAATAATAATAATAATGATAATAATAATAATTATTATCAGAGCGTTTACAACTCGTTTCAGAGCTTTTTGCACTCGTTTCAGAGTATTTACACTTGTTTCATAGTTCTTACCACATGTTTCATAACGTTTATCACTTATTTCATAGCGTTTACCACTTGTTTCATAACGTTTACTACTTTTTCATAACGTTTACCACATGTATCTTAGCGTTTACCATCTGTTTCATAACGTAAACCACTTGTTTCATAGTGTTTACCACCTGTTTCTTAATTTTTACCGCATATAATGGAGTTTACCACATCTATTATAACGTTTACCACATGATTCACAGTGTTTACTTCTTGTTTCGTAGCGTTCACCACTTGTTTCATGACGCTTACCACTCGTTTCGTAACGTTTACAATTGTTTCATAGCATTTACCACTTGCTTCAAACGTTTACCACTGGTTTCATAACTTTCAATTCGTTTACCCATGTTTCAAAGCATTTGCCACGTGTTTCATAGCGTTTAGCATTTGTTTCGTGTCTTTTACCAATCATTTTATAGCGGTTACCACTTTTTTCATAACGTTTACTCCTTGTTTCATAGCGTTTAACTCTTGTTTCATAACGTTACCACTTGTTTCATATCGTTTACCACATGTTACATGGCGCCTACCACTTGATTCATTATGTTTACTAATAGTTTCGCAACGTTTACCTCTCGTTTCATAGCGTTTACTACTTATTTCGTAACGTTTCCCGATAGGTATAAAACGTTTACTTTTGTTTCATAGCGTTCGCCATTTGTTTCTTAGCGTTTACCACTTGTTTCATAACGTTTATCACTCGTTTCATAACATTTACCATCGGTTTCGTAGCATTTACCACTTGTTTCATGGCGTTTACCACTTGTTTCATAGCATTTACCACGTCTTTCATAACGTTTACCACGTCTTTCATAACGTTTATCACTCATTCATTAGCGTTTACCGCTTGTTTTATAACATATGCCACATACTTCAAATCGTTAACCGCATGTTTCATAGCGTTTTCCAGTTGTTTCATACCGTTTACCACTTGTTTCATTGCGTTTACCACTTGTTCCATATCGTTTACCACATGTTTTATAGCGTTTACCACGTGTTTCATAGCGTTTAATACTCGTTTCATAACGTTACCATTTGTTCCATAGCGTTTACTATTGATTTCATTGCGTTTACCACAGGTTTCGTAACGTTCAGCACTTGTTTCATAGCGTTTACCGCTTGTTTCATAGCGTTTACCTCATGTTTTATAGCTTTCACCACACGATTCATAGCGTTTACCATTTGTATAATAAAGTTAACTACTTGTTTCATAGTATTAACCACTCTTATCATTACGTTTGCCACTCGTTTCATAACGTTCGTCACATATTTCATAGCGTTTACCAGATGCTTCATAGCGTCTACCACATGCTTAATGTTGCTTACCACATATTTCATAGCGTTTACCACTTGTTTAATAACGTTTACCACTTTTTCATAACATTTACCACTCGTTTCATAGTGTTTACCACATTTTTATAGTATTTTCCATATGTTTTATAACGCTTACCACAAGTTTCAAAGCGTTTACCACTTGTTTTATAGCGTTTACCGCTCGTTTCATAACGTTTTCCACTCGCTTCATTATGTTTATCCCACATTTTATGGCGTTTGCCGCTTGTTTCATAGCGTTTGCACATGTTGGATAACGTTTACCACTTGTTTCATAGCATCTACTACCTGTTTCAATACGTTTGCCACTTGTTTCACAGCATTTATCACATGTTTCATAGCGTTTACCACTTGTATAATAACGTTTACCACTCGTTTCATAACATTTATCACTTGCTTCATAGCGTTTACCACTTGTTTCAAAGCTTTTACCACTTGTTTCATAGTGTTACCACTTGTTTCATAGCGCTTACCACTTGTTTCATAGCGTTTAGCACTTGTGTCACAGAGTTTACCTCTTACTTCATAACGTTACCACTCGTTTACCCTTCGAATCATAGCCTTTAATACATGTTTCATAACGTTTATCACTTCTTTCATAGCATTTGCCACCTGTTTCATAGCGTTTACCACGTGTTTCATAGCATTTACCACCTATTTCATAGCGTTTACCACATGATTCATAGCATTTTCCACCTGTTTTGTGTATCGTTTACTACGTGTTCCATATCGTTCACCACATGTTTCACAGCATTTACCACGTTTGCAATATCGTTCACCACATGTTTCACAGCATTTACCACGTGTTTCGAAGCGTTTAACGCTTGTTTCATGGAGTTTACCTCGTATTTCATAGCGTTTTTCAATTGTTTCATAGCGTTTACTACTTGTTTCTCAGCGTTTAACACTTTTTACATAACGTTTACCACTCGTTTCATAACGTTCACCACTTGTTTCATAGTGTTTACCACTTGCTTCGTGACGCGATAGCGAGACTTGGCATTCATTTCGTGCATTGATTTAGGGGTGTTGACGAACTTTAATAAAACCAGGCTATCAAAAATATCTGCAGTTAAATTGATACGTTGTTTGGTGCTGAAAACGTAGCAACAATTTCGTCCGGATGCTGCAAGAGAGTATCAATATGTTTGTTTTAAAAATACTCTTGATGAATTGATGATATCGCAGCCAACCATAATACAGTTCAATAAGCTACAGCTACACTATTAGAAAAAAAAACGTTGAAAAAACGGTCCCACTGGCGTTCTAGTGGCCGGTCGCCACGTGAAAATAAACTGTTTCGCCGTTTTTATCAGATCTTTTACGAATTTCTAGTGTTAAATTAGAAAAAAAACCGCGACACGGTGTTTCTTTTCACGTGCCGACCGGCCACTAGAACGCCGGTAATACCGTTAACGGTAATTTTTCTAACAGTGTATTCATGACCCTGAATTAAAAGTTTATTTCAATATACCTAGCAGTTTACATACTCTATTAGGCTTTGATGATTGAGTGTCGAAAGGTGTTGGGGATATGAAAATACAAATATAGTAAATTTGATGTCTGTTAATGCAATACTTGTTCACTGTAGTTTAATTAATGTGTCATATCTAAATGATGTTTCACACAATGTCTTGTCAACATTTGCTCCAAATGTTCCCCCAGGATATAAAATTGTAGAGAATCCTAGCCAACCAATTTATCTAACCGTGGATCAACCATCAATTTATAATATCCGAATTTTGTTAACAGATCAAAATAAAAAATCTTTTGAACACAAAAGGTGAAGAAATAACAGTACGACTGCCCTTCAAATCAAGAAATATAAAAAAATGCAAAAAAGTATATAATCTTTACAATTGGAGAACTTACAATGTAATGAAACTATTCCATCTAACTATTTGGCGAATCAATTTCAAAAATTGAAACCCATGACTATAAGCCTCAAATTGGAACTGATTTATGTCGCGAACACAATGTTATCAAGATTATTATTCAGAATTAAGATCGTTTTCTACTACTATCAAAAAGTTGTCTTTACATCGAGGGTGCTTTAACGAAAAATGATAGTAGTAACTATAGCTTCAAAGATGATAAAATATCAATTGTCAATAATTGTCTGATGTATTTATTCGATCGAGTATCTTGTAGGATCGGGAATGAGGGAATTATTTTACTGGAATTGCCACAAAATATTTTTTATGAATATTATAAGTACCCAGAGTCAGAGGTGTTCTCATAAATAGATGTTCTCCCGAGCACACATTTGGAAACTGAATAAAGCATTTTTAATCTGGATGAACAGGGTGCGCCATAGAAACTTACTTATTTGAAACAATTCCTGCGTGGTGAGTTGGGCGGTAGAAGGGCGAGAGGGGGCGCATCTGAAGGGGAAAGTTCCCAAGTTTGTTTTTCTAATAAATTTGCTGTTGTGCTAGAATTAACTGAACGCGATTTTGTTGCCGATCAAATTGCATGTGTAATGCTGGTTAACAACCTGCCCGTAGATGCGGCCGGTTTTTTCCGTGACGGGGCTCACTTCCACATTTCCGGCTGCGTCAACAAGCAAAACTTGCGTTATTGGTGTGGTGTAAATCCACGTGAGCTTCATCAGAAGCCACTTAACTGTGAGCGAGTTATTGTCTGGTGTGCGACGTCGGTAATGGGAATAATTGGTCCTTATTTTTTTGAAGAAACGAACGCGCAGTTACCGTTAATAGAGCTCGTTACAGGAGCATGATTAATGAATTATTTTCCAAACACAAATAAATAAACGTTAGGAACATGTGGTTTCAGCAAGATGAAGCGACAGCACACACAGCACGAGACTCAATGAATTTGTTTCGACAACATTTCCTCGACCCCCTCATCTCTCTCAGAGGCGATCTCCAATGGCTGCCACGCTCTCCAGATTTGACTCCATGCGATTTATTTTTATGGGGTTATTTGAAATCTCTGGTTTATGTCGATCGATCACGGACCATAGCACACCTCAAGAACAACATTCGCGACGCCATTGCCAACATACCGATTGATATGCTGCAAGAGTGGACACGAATTTAAAAGATTTACTTCATCAGTGTATGCGCAATTGGGGTTGTCATTTATCCCATGTCATTTTGAAAACTTTATGAAAAAAATTGGGAAATTGTATTCTGAAATAAAACAAAATTTAAAAAATCATCGAGTACTTTCGTTTTATTGACATTTCAAATAGGTAAGTTTCTCTGGCGCACGGTGTAGAAGAAAAAACAAGAATACATGCATTAGACTTGTTGGTGTAAGGAAAATGATGCTTGTTAATACTTGGACGTTATGGCGTAATATATCCTACAAAGTTTAAGAGGTGCACACACAAATGCAATATTAAACTGATCAGCCAATAGTGTACTTAAAAATTGGTGATATGATTTGTGGACACATGCTTGAAAATGTAAGACTTTTACAAGAATGGGTATTAAAATGGCTTTGCTTATTATCTGTATAAAATGGCAAGTTATAATAACTATAGAAATAACCCAAAATGTTAATCGAATTTCAACGATGGTGAGGAACATATAAAGTGTCCATTTAAAGTATTTCAATGAGAGCCTACGAAAAAGCTCTGTTATAACTCTTAGAATTGAAAATTCTACCAAGCTGTGCTGATGAGTTCTTTTTCTTTTTCGATACTACTAATAATTTCAAGAAGTATCATTAATTATAATCATACTGATATCTTAAATAATAATCATAGTCTCGTGTCTCCCCAGGTCGGGAAGGTCAAGATGGCCAAACTCCTTCCCCTGATTCTCGCCGGAATTTTGACCACGGTGCTCCATGAAGCCCAGGTCATTAAAATTACCTTTTGTAAAATTATGAGTATTGATTTAATTAAATCCTCCAATGGATATGGTTAACATTAGACGTTTTTATACAGCTAGGGTACAAAACTAACCCACATGCCACAAACTGCGTATGAAATGTTAAGTAGACAAATCATTAGTTGCTTATTGATCTGTGATAGCTAATGCTGGATGAATTAACCCTTTTTCTGTCCACAGGCGAACCTGCCTCCAGGCCCTGCTGTTGATGTGAGTAGAAACAACCAACACACGCGTCTAATTGAAATGAAATTTGCGAATATATTTTCGTGTTGGGATTTTATGAACATTTAAGCTATAATTCCCATTCATGAAATATAGGCCTTGCTGTGCCACCACAAGTTTGTTGATGAGCAACTGTCTCAACTGTGCCCTGTCACCAACATCAACATTCAGGTACATATCCACCATTTTAATGATTACAGGTGCTTGTGACCCCCAATGGCCCCATGGCATCTTGCAAAAAAAACAAAAGGTCGGTCGTGTTCCAGTCCATCAAGTCTAAGAAGGGGAACGTGTATAGCCGTACATACACTCACCCGGCGATACTGAAATGCTTCGGCAGCTTCCAGCCGAGCACGGTCACTATCGGGGACTGCGTCAACGCTGCCGCCGTGGCCGGTGAGTTTGCTACTGCCGATGGTTACTGCCGCAGAAGCTGCCATTTACCAAGTCTTAATTGAATGTAATAATAATTTTCCAATGATTTTACGGAACAACATCTTTACTAACCGGCGCCACGTTTGCAGGACACTCCACCTTGTACTTCAATGGTACCGCCTGCCTCACCTACAACGCAACTTTTCCGAGTCACGCATGTGCAGACCAGCAGGCAGCAGCGGCAAACTACTTAGCCATCTACCAGGCCAACCCACCTCTGGTCAAGCCAAATTTCGGTGGGTGCGCTGGAATAGTGAAATTCACCTTTGGTTGAGCCCAGTTTCAGTGGTTGCAATGGATTAGTCCATCCTACCTCTGGTCGAGCCCAAGTTTGGCGGGGGCGGTGAATTAGTCCAACCCATCTCTGATCCAGGCCTGTTACGGTGGGTGGGATGAATTCATTTCCTGTGTGGGAGGGTTTCTGAACATTGCAGTCGCAGGCCTCGCTGGTACGTTGTCTTTTTTCTCCGGCCAACACCGTGTGGTCATTGATTGTGCCTAGTAACAAGTTTAGTCTCTTGAGGGCATCCAGAGCGACCGACTCCCGCTCTTGTTATCTTCACTGTCAAGATTCAAAACAACCTTGGTCACGCTATTGAAATGGATTGCTTCCGCAATCTGAGCTCAGAAACCAAGATTTTTGTCGGCTGGAGCGTTGTTTATAGTCACTTCTTTCATTGTGATATTTTGTCATCCCGAAGATTTCGTTCCTCCGCATGAAGATTCGCTTGACCGCTTCTAATGGCCAGACTGCGCAAACCGTGAACGAGGTCCATAGCTGTCAGCAGTACTACTCAAGGAGAAGGATCACAAGGGCTTTGAAGAGCGTGATCATCATCCAGGTACCACAAATGATGGTAGATCTACTCAATCTACTGCCATCAAATACGGGAAATTGACTACTATGTAACTTTGGTTCGGACTATGTTGCTCTGATTCGGACTATTTAGTTTTGTTTGGACTATATAGCATTGGTTAGGTCTGCGTAGTTAGGTTCGGACTATGTAGCTTTGTTTCTGACTGCGTAGTTTAGGTTCGAACTATGTAGTGTTGGCACAGGGCATCAGGATAGTTTTTTACACATCATACTCAGAGTACACATTTTCTTCGTTTTAATTTTGTTACCCAATTCACTAATTTTAGATATCATTCCTGAAGGAGTTATGGTGAACGAGTTATTGAATGTTCATGAATGAGCTATTGCACAAAATTTTCATGTAAATGTGAGACTGTTTTGTGTGCGACTGAGAATGGAACTGTATACCCTGTTGTGATGTGAGGCATTTGGAGACAGATGAATGATGGACTAAGTAGTTTAGGTTCGGAGTATTCAGCTTTGTTTTGGGCTATGTAGCTTTGTTTTGAGCTATGTAGTTTTGGGGAAGATTCATATTGGAATAACACGAGTATATTTAGTTCAACATGTGAACATAAAAATTAGACTTATTTGAGTAGAGCCAAAGATTTTTCCATAATGTTTCATCTGACTTGATTGAATTAGTTTTCATCCCATATGTATCCAGAGGCGCAAGCTCAGAAATATGAATGGGTCATGTATTAGGATACTATTGTGTTATGATACTTAATAATAATAGTACACAATAATATCCTAATACTGACCCACTTTCTATCCGTTGCACTGATACCTTGGGTCAGAATGACCCGCATAAAATTCAATTAAGGTCATTAAAATAATTCTAATAATTATTAAATTAAAATTCAACTAAGTTGCCTTCTATTGAGCAGCATCTCAGCAAACCTGGCCGTTCAATGTGGTGCCGGGATTCACAATGGAAGCCAACTTATTCCCGAACAAAACGATCATCGTATCTTACGACGTAAGGCTGTAAATAAGATTTTATTTACTTTACTTTGCACCATGTGAATATTTTATTTATTTGTATGGAACAGGCAGTCGTGCAGGCTAATTATTTCATTCAGCATAAGCTTCAGATCCAATGGCATACCTACAACCTTAAAAGCGCTTTTACAACCAGCGCTAAGCGGTGAGAGTAGTGGCGGCCAGTATACTTAGCGTTCACTGAGTGCCCTAACTTTGCGTTCCCTGAGTGCCTTAACTTAGCGTTCACCGAGTGCCTTAACTTAGCGTTCACTGAGTGCCCTTACTTACCGTTCAGATAGAAAACGCAGACATAGTAAATATCTTTGGTTAAAAAGGTAAGTATTTTTAACGATCAAAAGGCCAAATTCATATTTTTTGGCAATGTGACTAGAATATGAGTGAGCGTTCGCCACTCTTGTTCGCCGCTCCTGGTCGTCGCTCCTGTTCGCCGTTACTGTTCGTAGCTCGTGTTCGCGGCTGAAGTTCGCCGCTCCTGTTCGCCGCGCTTTTTCGCCGCTCATGTTCGCTGCTCCTATTCGCTGCTCTTGTTCGGCCCTCCTGTTCGCCGCTCCTGTTCGTTGCACCTGTTCGCCGCTCCTGCTTGCGTTCCTGTTCGCCTCTTCTGTTCGCTACACGATGCTTGAGGTGTCATTTGAAGGTTTTAATGCACATTCTGACAACATGACGAATAGACTGACGGCATGTCCGTTAAAAGAATGTCCGCTATAATCCTTTCGTGGATTTATGTAAATCCATTTACCACTTGTTCAAAGCCCTGTTGGTTCCGTAACGGTTGGGTCAGGCAGTTTTTCCCATGCGGTGGCCATGCGTTCCGAGAAAAAATTGCGGCAATGTCATAGCGGTTGTGCCTTTTGGTGCCGCTTCGTAGCCTCGACCTTGATTGGTGGCAGTCGGAAAACTGCGGTAAACAAGCATTTACAGCTTGTTTCTTAACGTTTACCACATGTTTCATGGCGTTTACCACCTGTTTCATAGCGTTTACTGCGAGTTTCCTAGCGTTTACCGCATATTTCATATAGTTTACCAATTATTTTATGAAATTTACCACTTATTTCAGAGCGTTTACAACTCGTTTCAGAGCTTTTTGCACTCGTTTCAGAGT